GTATAAAATACACAGGCACACTTTATTTATAATAAACCATAAACAGTAACTTTATTCCCACCCACAAAAAAGAAAATAAATTAAAAAAAATCTGTTCAAGTAACAATCACAGCCAGATAAACAGAAATATCTCATTAAAAAGCTGTCATCTCCATCACGATGAAGTGCTTCACTTTGTGTTGTTTCAAGCAGCTTTTCATACTTTTGGCCACAGGATGGAGCCAAACAGAACTGTGTTGGAAAGCTTRGAGTAATGAACCCTTTTTCAAAGCAAGCTTCAGTGCTTCAGAAAAGCCTCATTTGCCCATCACTAATATATACTATAATGGCGACTTATTATTGATTTTACTGAATATTACAAACTCACGTGTTTGCACAATATTTTACTTTTAAATTCTAAGCAGTAATGTTCATACTACAATAAATACCACAAATGAATGTATAAAACAACTAGCTGTAGTTCCTAAAATATCCACTAGATGGCTCCCTACTGGTGCCACTCGAAAATGCACCTTAAGAGAAACACAGAGTGCATTTTAGTTCCGCTAGGGTAAACACAACCATTACTGCAGTCCTCATTCACAGCCAGTATATGACAAGATCAACATTTAGCTTAACTGCCAGAAAACCGCAATCCCCGCTGAACTGACAACAACGCAACCATCGTCTGACTGAAACTATGGACAGAGAGTGAATGTTTCGATAGCGTGTCGGCAAACTCACCTGTCTGTTAGCGGTGATGGAGGAGCTCTCGCCCCTGCGGATCACACCAACAGTCCGAGCTCTCAGCTCCGCGCTCCGAGGCAATCGTGAACATGTTCATGACTCCAGAGGAGGGAAAGGCGAAAGAGGATTCCCCGAACCGGACAAGCTTTGGTTCAAGGAGAGCAGCGCCAAAAATCTCCGAAACAGGGACTTCTTGTCACCGACCACGATGCTAAACACGCTGTTCGCAGACGGACAGGTTGGTTTGGTTCACATCTCTCAGGTTTACCAACATCTAAGTGCCTCGTTGATATTGCTGGTCGTCCTATTATTTCAAACTAAGGCTTGTCGAAGGAGCCGAATGCGAAATAAAATAGTCTTTAAAAGACGCTAAACACATGACGTATCGTCACGTCCTTTTAATTAACAGGAAGTTTTTAGGCCAAAACTCTTCCGCTACACAGAATAGTCCCCTCTTTTTGATCATTGGAAGTTAGGTGTTCAGCGCAGTGATACACAAAGTGCAAAGGTGTTTCCAATTGCTTAGAAAATAAACCAATGGGAATAGAGAACCGGAACTATCAACTTGTTTATACTTTTGGCCTTAAAAACAGCACTGAAAGTCTGTTTTATGTTTGTGGATGGATCTATGAAACTGACCCAGACAGACAAATGCCCAGGACTGATAGAAGGCCGCTGACTTTGCCCCATTTTGATCGACCACACTAAAAGCCTGCAGCTGCAATTAGTAACTCATGTGGCAGATCCAATATGGCTCAGCTTGTACTAAAATCGAGGTTACACACACACACACACACACACACACACACACACACACACACACACACACAAAAAAAAAAATACACACAACAGATTTGTCGGAACAAGAAAAGCACAG